TGAAGTCTTCCTCGGTCGTTTGTCACTGAATAATGTTAGATGGCCTCATAATGTTACATCTGTTTTTGGCTAATTCCTGTTTTCACAGCCAATCTGAAAGTTGGTTTCCGGCCTGTGGGTAGCCCTGGAACGATTTGAGAGCTAGGCTCGTACACACACTGGTCTTTGAATGATCTTGAGTGCCGTGTACAGGCCGTGTATCATCATATGTTTACAAGCAACAGACATCCACGTCTTGCTGCTCAATTCAGTTTGTAAACAGATCACGCACAGGGATAGGTAGTGGAACCTTAAGTCAGCTCCTTCAGTGAAGGATTTCACTCGAGATCAATGGGAAGTATGTCAGCACAAAGTCTGCTGATAGTTCCAAGTATCTGCTTCTCTTCAAACAGTACGAGTTCAGGTCTGTGTAAAAGATTGAAAGACCGATGAGTTAAACCCGTAAATGTAGATCAAAAGTAACCAATGGTTCATCACAGCCCGTCGTTCCCCAACGTTAACACACACATATGAAACAAGCTCAGCATCACCGCCTGTCGTTCCCCAACGTTATATTAACATACACATATGCAACAAGCTCAGCATCACCGCCTGTCGTTCCCCAACATACACATATGCAGCAAGCTCAGCATCACCGCCTGTCGTTCCCCAACGTTAACATACACATATGCAACAAGATCAGCATCACTGCCTGTCGATCCCCAACATACACATATGCAAAAAGCTCAGCATCACCGCCTGTCGATACCCAACATACACATATGCAACATGATCAGCATCACCGCCTGTCCTTCCCCAACGTTAACATACACATATCCAACAAGCTCAGCATAACGGCATGTCGTTCCCCTACCGACACATATGCAACAAGCTCAGCATCACCGCCTGTCGTTCCCCAACATACACATATGCAGCAAGCTCAGCATCACCGCCTGTCGTTCCCCAAAGTTAACATACACATATAGAACAAGATCAGCATCACTGCCTGTCGATCCCCAACATACACATATGCAACATAATCAGCATCGCCGCCTGTCGATCCCCAACATACACACATGCAACAAGCTCAGCATCACCGCCTCTCGTTCCCCAACGTTAACATACACATATGCAACAAGCTCAGCATAACGGCATGTCGTTCCCCTACACACACATATGAAACAAGCTCGGCATCACCGCCTGTCGTTCTCAACGTTATATTAACATACACATATGCAAAAAGCACAGCATCACCGCATGTCGTTCCCCAACATACACATATGCAGCAAGCTCAGCATCACCGCCTGTCGTTCCCCAACATTAACATACACATATGCAACAAGATCAGCATCACCGCCTGTCGATCCCCAACATACACATATCCAACAAGCACAGCATCACCGCCTGTCGTTCCCCTACATACACATATGCAACAAGCTCGACATCACCGCCTGTCGTTCCCCAACATACACATATGCAACAAAATCAGCATCACCGCCTGTCGTTCCCCAACATACACATATGCAACAAGCTCAGCATCACCGCCTGTCGTTCCCCAACATACACATATGCAACAAAATCAGCATCACCGCATGTCGTTCCCCTACATACACATATGCAACAAGCTCAGCATCACCGCCTGTCGTTCCCCAACGTTAACATACACATATGCAACAAGATCAGCATAACCGCCTGTCGTTCCCCAACATACACATATGCAACAAGCTCAGCATAACCGCCTGTCGTTCCCCTACATACACATATGCAACAAGATCAGCATCACCGCCTGTCGTTCCCCTACATACACATATGCAACAAGATCAGCATCACCGCCTGTCGTTCCCCAACGTTAACATACACATATGCAACAAGATTAGCATCACCGCCTGTCGTTCCCCAACGTTAACATACACATATGCAACAAGCTCAGCATCACCGCCTGTCGTTCCCAAACGTTAACATGCACATATGCAACAAGATCAGTATCACCGCCTGTCGTTCCCCTACATACACATATGCAACAAGCTCAGCATCACCGCCTGTCGTTCCCCAACATACACATATGCAACAAAATCAGCATCACCGCATGTCGTTCCCCAACATACACATATGCAACAAGCTCAGCATAACCGCCTGTCGTTCCCCTACATACACATATGCAACAAGATCAGCATCACCGCCTGTCGTTCCCCTACATACACATATGCAACAAGATCAGCATCACCGCCTGTCGTTCCCCAACGTTAACATACACATATGCAACAAGATTAGCATCACCGCCTGTCGTTCCCCAACGTTAACATACACATATGCAACAAGCTCAGCATCACCGCCTGTCATTCCCCCACATACACATATGCAACAAGCTCAGCATCACCGCCTGTCGTTCCCCAACATACACACATGCAACAAGCTCAGCATCACCACCTGTCGTTCCCAAACGTTAACATACACATATGCAACAAGCTCAGCATCACCGCATGTCGTTCCCCAACGTTAACATACACATATGCAACAAGCTCAGCATCACCGCCTGTCGTTCCCAAACGTTAACATGCACATATGCAACAAGATCAGCATCACCGCCTGTCGGACCCCTACATACACATATGCAGCAAGATCAGCATCACCGCCTGTCGTTCCCCAACGTTAACATACACATATGCAACAAGATCAGCATCACCGCCTGTCGGACCCCAACATACACATATGCAGCAAGATCAGCATCACCGCCTGTCGTTCCCCAACGTTAACATACACATATGCAACAAGCTCAGCATCACCGCATGTCGTTCCCCCACATACACATATGAAACAAGATTAGGGTAACCGCCTGTCGTTCCCGAACGTTAACATAAACATATAGAACAAGCTCAGCATCACCGCATGTCGTTCCCCAACGTTAACATACACATATGCAACAAGCTCAGCATCACCGCCTGTCGTTCCCAAACGTTAACATACACATATGCAACAAGCTCAGCATCACCGCATGTCGTTCCCCAACGTTAACATACACATATGCAACAAGCTCAGCATCACCGCCTGTCGTTCCCAAACGTTAACATGCACATATGCAACAAGATCAGCATCACCGCCTGTCGGACCCCTACATACACATATGCAACAAGATCAGCATCACCGCCTGTCGTTCCCCAACGTTAACATACACATATGCAACAAGCTCAGCATCACCGCATGTCGTTCCCCAACGTTAACATACACATATGCAACAAGATCAGCATCACCGCCTGTCGGACCCCTACATACACATATGCAACAAGATCAGCATCACCGCCTGTCGGACCCCTACATACACATATGCAACAAGATCAGCATCACCGCCTGTCGTTCCCCAACGTTAACATACACATATGCAACAAGCTCAGCATCACCGCCTGTCGTTCCCCTACATACACATATGAAACAAGATTAGCATCACCGCCTGTCGTTCTCCTACATACACATATGCAACAAGATTAACATTACCGCCTGTCGTTCCCCAACGTTAACATACACATATGCAACAAGCTCAGCATCACCGCATGTCGTTCCTCAACGTTAACATACACATATGCAACAAGATTAGTATCACCGCGTGTCGTTCCCCTACATACACATATGCAACAAGCTCTGCATTACCGCCTGTCGTTCCCCTACATACACAAATGCAACAAGATCAGCATAACCGCCTGTCATTCCCCAACATACACATAGGCAACAAGATCAGCATTACCGCCTGTCGTTCCCCTACATACACATATGCAACAAGATTAGCATTACCGCCTGTCGTTCCCCAACATACACATATGCAACAAGATCAGCATTACCGCCTGTCATTCCCCTACATACACATATGCAACAAGATTAGCATTACCGCCTGTCGTTCCCCAACATACACATATGCAACAAGCTTAGCATCACCGCATGTCGTTCCCCAACATACACATAGGCAACAAGATCAGCATCATCGTCTGTCGTTCCCCAACATACACATATGCAACAAGATCAGCATTACCGCCTGTCGTTCCCCAACATTAACATATGCAACAAGATTAGCATTACCGCCTGTCGTTCCCCAGCATACACATATGCAACATGCTCAGCATCGCCGTTTGTCCCCAACAATGAAACACCACCCATGGCAATAGCCCTCATTTAAATATAACTCCATGAACGTTTGTATTTCTGTTAAAATTTGAAGTGCAAGTGGTAAACATCTGCTTTTTGTGACCGCAATCCTTATGGAATCTTCACGTGCTCGTATTCACAGCCGTGCCTGCATTCTGGGCGTTTGAGATGTAATAGCATAGCTCGTTATCGCGCTTCACTCAACAGTTTTCCGATAAAACAAAAGCCCAACCTCGTCGTTTGTAAGATACGCTTGAACAAAACTGTAGAAGGGGTTGTCAATCATAGATTAAACCACCATACGATATATTTATCCCTCGCTTGAATCAATTTCTAATTGTTCAGTTTTATTCCTTCCTTATAAAGTCCTTGTTTTCGTAAATGAACTCAGTCCATTGTAATAAGCTGTTTATATGTATACCAGAATCAATCCATAAATCAATTGCAAATATTCATCCTTACAAATGTATCATTAATGCTTTCCTCTTTACCCGTTGAAGGATATTCATCATAATATACTTAGTTCTAAAACAACTTGTCTTAGGCCTCAGGAAGTTTTTTGCCAACTTCACAAAAAGGTAAAGTCAGTCCACATAAGTGTATATAACATGTCGGTAGCCACTTATGATTCTTCAGAATATATCAGATTATGGGCAGGACATGTGTCCAACAGGTCTACATGTACAGAGGAGGAACATAGCATGTTGGAGGAATTAGAGCTCCGACACATATGACGGCTTATGTTTAATACATATGTGGTCTAATAGTCACCGTTTAGGACATTCGAGTTGAAAACTTAACGTAGCTTGTAGGTTTGTCGTATCAATGTATTACAAAAAGGAGAAATGTAATTCTTCATGCATTCTCCGGGAGATACTAGATGGTTCAACTATGTCAGTAAGCCTAATATATCTGTTTCACTAACACAAAGGACGTATGTACGGTTTTCACTGATGGCCTAAACTTCCCTTGCCGCTGCCTAACACTGTGGGTCACCGCGAGGAGATGGGCTCGGCAGCCTCAGAAACACTACTTCATTGACTCTCCCGCTAGTGTAACGTACAACCTAACGGCTTATCGGCGAGTGACCGCGGAACAACTACTGCAGGAGAGTGCGGGTCGTGCGGTCGGGACACTGAACTGCTGGGACTGCCTACGGATTGGACAGCCGTTGTTTGTAGGGTGGTCCCTCCGACCATCTGGGACAGGTATGGGGGCAGGTAGCCCACGTTGAACCAGCCTGGGAGAGAAGGAGCGAAAGAAAGAGTGGTTGTAGAAGCGACGAGGAAGGCAGGAGGGAGTGGGTGAAACAGTGAAGGTGCCCGTGCGTAGATACAAAACGGACAACTGGGACAACTCTTCCAACTTTGGCGTCAGTTGCCAGGAAGTGTGACTTGAATGAGTCAATCTCCCGCTGCTGTGTGGTACGGATAGGTAGATGCACTTGCTTCGGATTTGGATCCCTAAATAGAAGTCAGTGATAGTGCGTGCCGTTTGATACTTGTAGTAAATTTGATTGGACTTGAAGTGTAGGAGTACCGTTTGGGGCAGGAATCTGCTGGGATTTCAGCAAGAACCCTCATCGCTTCGGATGTCTGAAGTGACCAGCTGAGACAGCGGACGTCAACATGAAGATCCCTGTCGTCTGCTGTTTTCTCCTTCTGGTAGGTGTTGTGCTTCTCGACTCACATCATGACAATGTCATGCTGTAGAATGTTATATAGTCAGATCAAGACTTGAAGGTGCGTCCTACACCAAGTTGTCATGTTTGAATGATTTCATAATGGGACTCAATTGACGGACTCTGTCACAAGAAGATTAAGTCCATGTATCATGCATTATAGGGTGAGAACAACGTTTTCAATGGTTGTCCATATAAGCAGTCAGATGTCATGACTCAAAAAATTAATAAGTTTGTGTCATATATAAAGTTTATCTTTTTTTCCCGGTGGTTGTAGGGATATCATTGGTGTCATGGTTGTGATTTAAGGTTGTCATGTGTTACACATGTGTTGTGTAGCTCCTCCAACCTAGAAAAAGCGATAGCATAAATAGTGTTAAAATGTGTCATGACAGTACCATGTAAAAGGGTTACTTAGTATCGTCCAAAGACAGACAACGTTGTACAGTAGAGGCTTGTAAGGTTGGAGAATACTTGTCATAGATAATGAATTAAATCGTACTCCGTAGCTTCACTTAATCCTCACCATCAGAAACATTGACTGTTATATATATATCATAAGTAACATTTTCAACATAACAAATTGATTCGATATCAAGAAATAAGCCACCTTGTCGCTTTTCGTCGATCCTATTTCATCAGAGTATTTTCTGAACTAAAATAGGAGATTTAGCAGGCTGCAGCACCATTTTCAAAACGATCCTTGCAATCTGATTCATTGAAACTGAGAACCTTTAAAGTATATCAGATTCTTACGCAATCAAATTATTGCCCCAGTATATTGGCGACATGATGGATAAACCTACCGGTTTGTACTGACCTAACTAAAGCCGTTGGCAAGTTGTAGCGATGTGCCAGTTCAGGTTATAAAGTTCAGTCGACACTGGCTAAGTCAGCCCTTTGCGACTAAATAAAGCACCGGCACGGCGCAGCTCGCGGAGTCCGGTACAGACATGTGATATTATGATAATACACCAATAAGTTGTCGAGTGTACGGTATATTCCTCACTTCACCACATGGCTGCCGTTTGCAAGAAGGAGATACAACAGCGGATCAACCGGACAGATTCATGTAGGCTTTAGTACTAGGAGCCAGGCACAGGTTGTCAGTTTGTTCTTACAAACACAACCATCAGCATGACTAAATAGATATGGTAGATTTACACACGAAAGTGGTGTTACAGTCTGTGTTGGGTAGGTACGTAAAGTTTTACCCAGGATATTCACAATGTTAAATATATTCCTGTCGCCAGTCATGTTACAAAGCTAGCCAGGATCACATCTGATTGCATCGCCATGTGTCTTGATAGCTTCTATATTTTGGATTTGCATTATACATGTAATTACATGGTCACATTGCAACAGTTTTACTCACACTCGCTTACACACGGTTTGCTAGATCCAGATCTTAGGACATCAATTTGTAACCCAGGAGTTTTTGTTAAATATTGTCATACAGGCACACCTCCTGAGACGTTCTTCTATCCGATGTCTCTGTTGATACATCTTCACACTGTTCATCACTCAATCTCTGAAACATGTTATAGTATGTACTACTTTTGTCTGCAGTACCCTCAGCCTCAGCCTCGCCCCCGCCTCCCTCTTGACCTCCCCTCCCGATACCCACTAACCCACAGCTGTCATTAGTCTCCACCCGCCCCCAGGGGTTGGGGAGCTTTTCCCCTGCTTGACATGAACAAATATTTAAGTTTGTGTCTGTCGCGGGGTAGTGCGGGCCACTAAATGTTCGGGCCGGGACTTTATCAGCAGTGGCGAAAGGTGAATGTACAGGTCAGGGATTTATCATTTCCAGCGAAAGATTGAGAACAAGAGGTTCCGGCCCCGCGCAATCAGAGTGGCGAGTTCACCATACTCAGACCGGCTAGGGGACCAGACCTGTCATTTACACAAGTGGGGTGTTGTAATTTACAGATCAGGACAGTAACGTCTATATTATGACATTTGTATTTATAGGATGATTTAGACCTGTAGTACTGACATGCCTTCGTGGCGTCCTCTTTTCAGTTTAGAACAGGAACACATAATCATCGAAATCCCTTATTGTAATGCGAGAAATAGTTTACTTTCGCTTATTATAATAAAAAGAAACTGCTGTTTTTAACACAGAATTTCTATTGTTTTCATTAATGACTCTTTCATAAAAAAATATCTATGGAATATTGGCCTTTCTTATTATATATACGATACAGTATGAGGTACGATTCATGACTTCAGGAAACTATTTATCCAGTCCACATGGAAATCCGCTCACAAACAACACGATTGTCAACTTCGCTTTCAGAAAACCATGAATTCTTGCTTGATGAAGAATATATGAATTGAAACATGTTTGCATGTCTTTGAAGGCCAAACGACCATTGTCTGTGATCAAACAAACAGATACAAATCCTTTCTGTATAAATGCATCTACTGTTTAATATATGACCTTACTATTTACTTGGCGAGACCGACATCACGAAGGTATAGTCTCTCGCTAGTCTATGAGTAGTCTGTCATACAGACCCTGAAACAAATATATTCAATACAGCCCTGGCAAGCCAATATGACTCCAGTTTTATGAAAATAAGGAAAGTCTCTTGTCTCCGTTTTATTATTGTATATTCAGATATATTTAACACCTGGCTTTGTTTCAATTCGTTAAATATGTTCATTTCAGAGACACGACGTTAGTCAGGTCCATGAGCAAACTTCTCTCAGGCCAATGAACAGCCAGTATATGTGCTATAATGGCCAGTGTTTGTTCGCGACTTAGATTACAGCTTACTCAAGGTTCACCGCCAACTTCCCCAAAGTACCCAGTACCCTAACCCACTTCAAACTCCATACATGTCACACAAACCCTCTTCAAACTCCATACATGTCGCAGCACCCCTCTTCAAACTCCATACATAAGTCAACACCACCTCAGTCCACGTGAATACAGCCAGTAATCTCTATACCCACCCAACTTCAAACTCCATACATAAGCCAACACCACCTCAGTCCACGTGAACACAGCCAGTAATCTCTATACCCACCCCACTTCAAACTCCATACATAAGTCAACACCACCCCACTTCAAACTCCATACATAAGTCAACACCACCCCACTTCAAACTCCATACATAAGTCAACACCACCCCACTTCAAACTCCATACATAAGTTAACACCATCTCAGTCCACGTGAATACAGCCAGTAATCTCTATACTCACCCCTCTTCAAACTCCATACATAAGTCAACACCACCTCAGTCCACGTGAATACAGCCAGTAATCTCTATACCAACCCAACTTCAAACTCCATACATAAGTCAACACCACCTCAGTCCACGTGAATACAGCCAGTAATCTCTATACCCACCCAACTTCAAACTCCATACATAAGCCAACACCACCTCAGTCCACGTGAACACAGCCAGTAATCTCTATACCCACCCCACTTCAAACTCCATACATAAGTCAACACCACCCCACTTCAAACTCCATACATAAGTCAACACCACCCCACTTCAAACTCCATACATAAGTCAACACCACCCCACTTCAAACTCCATACATAAGTTAACACCATCTCAGTCCACGTGAATACAGCCAGTAATCTCTATACTCACCCCTCTTCAAACTCCATACATAAGTCAACACCACCTCAGTCCACGTGAATACAGCCAGTAATCTCTATACCAACCCAACTTCAAACTCCATACATAAGTCAACACCACCTCAGTCCACGTGAATACAGCCAGTAATCTCTATACCCACCCTACTTCAAACTCCATACATAAGTCAACACCACCCCACTTCAAACTCCATACATGAGTTAACACCATCTCAGTCCACGTGAATACAGCCAGTAATCTCTATACCCACCCCTCTTCACACTCCATACATAAGTCAACACCACCTCAGTCCACGTGAATACAGCCAGTAATCTCTATACCCACCCCACTTCAAGCTCCATACATAAGTCAACACCATCCCACTTCAACTCCATACATAAGTCAACACCGACCCACTTCAAACTCCATACATGTCACAACACCCCTCTTCAAACTCCATACATAAGTCAACACCAGCTCAGTCCACGTGAATACAGCCAGTAATCTCTATACCCACCCCACTTCAAACTCCATACATAAGTCAACACCACCCCACTTCAAACTCCATACATAAGTCAACACCATCCCACTTCAAACTCCATACATAAGTTAACACCACCTCAGTCCACGTGAATACAGCCAGTAATCTCTATACCCACCCCACTTCAAACTCCATACATAAGTCAACACCACCCCTCTTCAAACTCCATACATAAGTCAACACCACCACAGCCCACGTGAATATAGCTAGTAATCTCTATACCCTCCCAACTTCAAACTCCATACATAAGTCAACACCACCTCAGCCCGCGTGAATATAGCCAGTAATCTCTATACCCACCCCACTTCAAACTCCATACATAAGTCAACACCATCCCTCTTCAAACTCCATACATAAGTCAACACCACCACAGCCCACGTGAATATAGCTAGTAATTTCTATACCCTCCCAACTTCAAACCTCCATACATAAGTCAACACCACCTCAGCCCACTTGAATATAGCCAGTAATCTCTATACCCACCCCTCTTCAAACCTCCATACATAAGTCAACACCACCCCAGCCCACGTGAATACAGCCAGTAATCTCTATACCTACCCAACTTCAAACTCCATACATGAATCAACACCACCTCAGTCCACGTGAATACAGCCAGTAGTCTATACCCACCCCACTTCAAACTCCATACATAAGTTAACACCACCCCACTTCAAACTCCATACATAAGTTAACACCACCCCACTTCAAACTCCATACATAAGTCAACACCACCTCAGTCAACGTGAATACAGCCAGTAATCTCTATACCCACCCCACTTCAAACTCAATACATAAGTCAAAACCACCCCACTTCAAACTCCATACATAAGTCAACACCACCCCAC